GATACACGTTTAAACTAGAGTATTTTCTTCTGTGAATCTTGGTGTTTGTGATGAATTTGTGTGGTGTCCTGATTGTTAAAGATGCATGGCTTCATCAAACTCTCAGCTCTTCTGGTATGCTGATACATTCATGCTGAAGTAGGAGCCCTTACAATCCAGAAACCCCTGAAATGCTTAAGCTCAGGACTTTATATATAGCCACCAGTGTCCAGAGGCAGCTGGCTGTTCAGGATTCAGGAGTACAACTGGCTGGAGGAATCCGGTATAGACTCGTTTGGACACATCAGATGCAGGTCCTTGTTTAAAAGGCAGGTCAGTGAGGATCTGTCACATTCAGAGGAGTTTCTTTTTTCTGAGGAACCTTTTAAATATTTTACTGATTAAACCGAATATTTGTGTGGTTAGTAAGTTAAGACAGTGAAACACATTACATATAGTAGTTTACTAAGATAAATATATTGTAACAACTGAATTTTTTTCCTCTTGCTTCTTTGTGATTTGCATTTAAAAGATTTGTATGTGATACCTTTTTCTTGTTCATGAACATTCAGAGTTAGTTTTAAAGGGATTAAATAAGTGTTGGTGGAAGGAGCAGTGATGGCAGAAAACCAACCAGATGCTTTATTATTCAACAAACTGCATGCAGAATGTAAATGGATTACTCAGTTTTTGTAACCACTGGCCTTAAGTGCACATGGGTTTTGGATAGTATACACCAATCATGATTTCCTTTTACAAAATAAAATATAGACTTCACTTGATAAGTAAATTGTACAGCCTGCTGGTGTGGTTTGTGTGTTTGAGGTGAGTGGGATATTGTTGGGAATTACAGTTACCACTTTAAAAAAACAGAAGAAAGGAGAGGAGGTGAAATTTTCCTTGTCATTGTATTACAGTTATTTAGTCAGTCTACTATATTATCACATCAATGCAACACATAAATCATATCTTGACAGACCACACAATAACAGCAACAATACAAACACCAATCCATTTCACAAGATAGCTACATCAACAATAAAACAGTGAACCCAGTACTGCTACAGGGGGAGTTTTTTGCAGTACTATGAGTGGCCACTGGGAAGAAGTGGCTGCATGCTGACAACCATATCTGTATTTCTAATAACATATCCATGTTGCAGCCCTATGAGGCTTCTTGCAATTATGTCCTAAATCTGACTCAGCAGGGCGTGACTCACATAGTGATGGCACTTTGGTGGCAGCTGCTGGTGTTGATGAGACTTAGTTTTTGGGGTGCATTCTTTGTCACCATTCCTGCCTGGAATGACAGTACAAAGTACAGTATGTACCCACAACATGAAAATACTGTAGTTACTGACAAAATGACTGAAATCATATGTACAGAAGGAGGATACCACATTTTTACAGAATAAACATTCAGTATGAAAGAATATGAAGTTAAATCAGTAATATTTTCTTTTATACACTCTACATCATTCTGATTCCCAAGTAAACCTCCATCAGTGGACTGAACGACTACAGACCTGTCGCCCTGACATCTATAGTTATGAAGTCCTTTGAAAGACTGGTGTTGGCTCACATGAAAGACATTGTTGACCCCCTGCTGGACCCCCTGCAGTTCGCCTACCGGGCTAACAGGTCAGTGGACAATGCAGCGAACAGGACACTGCATTACATCCTGCAACACCTCGACTCCCCAGGGACGTATGCACAGGCCCTCTTTGTGGACTTCAGCTCAGCATTCAACACCATCATCCCAGACATCCTCCACTCCAAACTGATCCAGCTCACTGTGCCTGCCCCCACCTGTCAATGGATTACTAGCTTTCTGTCAGACAGGTAGCAGCAAGTGAGGCTGGGGAAAACCACATCCAGCACCTGGACAATAAGCACAGGGATGTGTGCTCTCCCCTCTGCTGATTTCACTCTACACCAACGACTGCACCTCAGAGGACCCCTCTGTTAATCTCCTGAAGTTCGCAGACGACGGTCTCATCCAAGACAGTGACAAGTCAGCCTACAGACGGGAGGTTGAGCAGCTGGTGGTGTGGACCACAGGCTTTAAAATCCTCTTATATGTCAAGGTCAAAGGGTTTATTTGTCATATGCACAGTTAGGAAACGTGTTTCCCTTATAATGAAATTCTTACTTTGCCGTCCACATGAATGCCACACAATACAAGTGAAATATAAATTAGATGAGCAATAACACAAATCTAAGGCACTTTAAAGCAGCAAGTGAAAGAAGCACAATAAAAATACAAAAAGAACACAATATAATGTATTGAGAATATATGCTCCGTGGAAGCAGCGAAGTGCAAATATTCAGCAGTGAGTGTGCAATTATGCATGTGCAAAATGAGTATGTAAACAGTACAAATGGAATTACATGAGGTGGATCCTGGGTCAGCTGTTTAGGAGTCTGATGACAGAAGGAAAGAAAGAGTTTTTCAGTCTAGTGATACTGCATTTCACACTTCTGAACCTCCGGCCAGAGGGTAGGGAGGCGAACAGTCCGTGCTAGGGGTGGGTGGGATCCTTGAGGACGGAGGCAGCCTTCTTACACACCCTGCGGTGGTAAATGCTCTGTAGAGAGGGCAGTGGAGTCCTGGTGATCTTCTCCACAGTCTTTACCACTCTCTGCAGGTGCTTGCAGTCCATAGCAGTAGTGCTGCCGTACCAGACAGTTATGCAGTGATGCAAGATCAAATCAAATTTTATTTGTATAGCACCAAATCACAACAAAAGTAATCTCAGGACACTTTACAAAGTAAGGTCTAGACCTTACTGTTATAACTATCATTACATAGGAAAAACCCAACAAATCCCCCTTGAGCAAGCACTTGCCGTCAGTGAGGAGGAAAAACTCCTTTTAATGGAAGAAACCTCCTACAGATCCCGGCTCTTGGTGGGCGGCCTTCTGCCTCGACCAGTTGGGGTGAGTGGATAGAGGAGAGAGAAAAGAAGAAGAGCAGCAAGACACAACAAACAATCAAGGGATTGGGAGGAGAGGAGAGGAGAGGAGAGGAACTCAGAGCATCATGGGGCCGCC